GTAAGAGTGGATTAAAAACCTCAAATGAAAATGGAACATGCAATGACTTGTATGATCTGTGTAGTTTTTGGTCATCAATCGGAGAGTGCACTAAGAATGACATCTGGATGAATGAGCATTGTCCAATATCGTGTGATCAATGTAATAGTGAGTTACTTACATTCATTTGCTATTCAATTATTCATTTATTTCGTCACATTAAATACAATGAATGTCATTTGAATGCGGTTGATTCACAATCATGCAAACAATCTTATTGAAACGAGATAAGTTTTGAAATCTGAAAGTGATATATTCAAAGTTATATTGTGATCAATCAGTCAATTGTAACTGAAAGGGTCAATTGATGCTCGATTTTTGGACGATTTTAATGTCTATTTTTATTTTTGACTATGACTTGGCTTTTTTGATAGTCTTATTCCATCGACAGTATCTTTGATGTTGATTACAGTTGTTTCGTTCACTGATATTTGTTATTACTGCTAATCAAAGATGGGCAATAGAGCGCTATCGCTACTCAGTGAACTATAGCGAAATTTTCGCTATGTAGCGATAGCGTGCCGTTGACCATCTCTATTATTGTGAAATGTTTTAATGTCGTTATTGTTATTCGGCATTAAAATGTACAAAATTTTTATGTACAAAAATCTGCGCTGATAAACATAAACTATGCACATTTTGGTCGTCGATTGGTGAATGTGAAACGAATGCCGTATGGATGCTGACCAATTGTCAAAAGTCGTGTAATGCTTGTAAAGGTAATCATTCGCACTGTTCGATCAGGTAAACTCAATGAGTTACTGATCTACTCAAGACGGATATTTGATCAATTCAACATGAGATTTTGATGTCGACGATTGAGAGCTTGAATATGTTGCAGGTAAATTGGACATTGACGAGATCATATTAACAAGAGCACTGACAAAAGACGATTGCATATTCATTCCAACCAAAGAAGGTGCACTTTTTGTTGGGATTTATTTCCAATTAGAATGCAATTTTCATGTGAAACTTCATCTACTTATCTCTTTACTTATTTCATCGACAATCGCAACTCATTACAAATTTATGCATATCTCTTATCACGAATATCACATTCTTCTTCCTTGACATTCTAATTTCCGCGCAGCTAACGATAACAGCGCTGTTTTCATCAACTGTCTTCATCAATTCTAACTTCGATTAATGATTTGGCGAGCACAAAGGTTTTGGGCTATTCATCTATATTGCCCAATAATTTCTAAGGAGAGGGACTGAAAAAGAGCCCAAAAGTATATTCCGCTTGATTGATTGAACGTGTGTCCAATGATCGCACAGAGTAGCTATTTGCAACAACCAACAGTAGTAAACCAGTGATCATTGGGGATCAGTAATAAACAGTAAACATAATAACAGTAAACATAACATAGTGAATAGATCCATAACGTTCGGTATATTAAATATTCCACAACCGAGCAATAATGAATGCCCGTTGTAATGAATAATTTGCATAATTAAACATAGCTGAATACCAATTCATTAAATAATCGCAACAGTGATAAACAATTTGCTGATCGCCTAGAGCTTCTCGCCCAAATAACTAAAAATTCAAGTATATTCGTGGAAAATCTAATTGTATCATATTTGAGTTCCTTCCAAAACTGCAAATTCGTTTGATAACATTTAACAATAACAATATTACTGTTTAAATCGTATTCGTAATAGTAAGAATAACAATCAATACTAACGCTAGACCCACTGAGAATAAAAGCAAGAAAACAAAACTTTGCAGATGTCTCGAAACGTCGAGCACTCTCCGTGAACGATATTCGGAATATGAACTTGGAACTTGGCTGCGTGAAGATGTCACCTCAACCGGAATGCAACCGCAACTTGTGTTACCATCTCAGATTCCGAACCTTCGACGGTACTTGCAATAATTTGGATGGATCACCGCTAAATGGCGCTGCCTTCAGCCCGTACATTCGACTGTTGAAAGCGCGTTATGCGAATCATATTTCNGACTGATCAAAAAGTTTAGTATCAAGAATTGGAGTTGATTCTGTTCAAAGGAGTCAATTCTTTGTGATCAAATAGACATTTTAAAAGTGCTTTTGGAGGAATGCTTTTGAAAAATCAATGAGCAACAATTTGCTAACGTCGTCAATTCTTCCTTAGCACTTGATTTCAAATTTTGTGCAAGGGAACTTCCTTCTCAAAAGAAACATCGGGATAATAGTTTATTAGTTGCTTTCTTTGGATGCAATATAAACAATAAAATCCACGACTCTGCCCATCCGTCAAATGCATCTTCAGAGTAAAATAATAAAATTTAGTAAATTCAAATAGTAAGTTTGTCTGATTGAAATACTCATGTTAAATGTCGCTCGTAAATGTTTACAAGTGAACATAGATTTGTAAGCTTTCATTCACATTCTTGGTTCAAGTCACAGAAATGATTGACAATAATTATTTCAAGGAGCAAAACATGGTGTCCGTCCTACAGCGCGTGAAGCATCACGTCTTATGTTGTCTTCATCTGCTCAGGTGAATAAATTGTAACTTGAGAATTCAATAGAGTATATTTTAAACTTCATTTACTTCCCTATAGAATATTTGCGGAGAATATCAACGGTTAGAAATGAGAGTAAATGTTTTGAAATGAACAAGTTGAAGGTGACAACAAAATCGAACGCTTTAATGATGCAATGGGGACAGTTTATCAGTCATGATATGGCTAAGACTACTACGCTAAACAATCAAGAATGTGCATCTTGTGTGAATGGTCAACACTGTTTTAATGTGTTCATATCGAGACGAGATCCGACGTCAGTGCTTTCATCCTTTCGATTCTTAATTCGTCTTACTATTAGTTCAATTCGATTCAATTTAATTCAATCGTTCATTTAATTTGATTTTTGATGACATTTCATTGAAAGTGTTCCGCTGAATTCGATTGAAAACATTTGCGTAGAGATCGACTCTGTATGATGATTCACTGATTATTCGAGTTTTGGGTTGATTCCGGAATAATTTTTTGGTTGGTTCGATTCAGATTTGGTCAGTTCCAATGTTTACCAGTGGCACGATCAACGCCATTGTGCGGATCTGGGCAGAGCTCACCTCGAGAGCAATTCAACGAGAACACTGCGTTTATCGACGCATCAAACGTTTGTTTGCATTCATTCGATCATTTTTTTTTTGAAATTCAAGTTTGCGAGAATTCAAGATTCAAGTTTTTAAATTGAAGTTTTCGAAAATATTTAGACGTACACAAAAAATACAAAAAAAAATTTGAAAATATTCGACATTCAAAAAAATGCAGTTGCGATTTGTTGAAAAGGAGATGTGAAATAAAACAAAGAAATTGTTTCGACGAAGAAAGTGTAAAAAAATTGCAGATCTACGGCAGTTCAGAACGCGATCAGTTTATATTCCGTCAGGGTGCGTTCCTGAAAACGAATATCATCCGGAATCGTGTATTCCCACCAGTTGATAACAGTCAAAATATTATCACTGGTGACGATAGGTCGAACCTGTTCGTGGCTCTTGCCGCATTACATGTTCTTTTCGTTAGACAACATAACAGGTTCGAATGTGATCATTATTCGTATTCTTATTATCATTACTATTAATTTATTGTTTTAATTATTGTTATTGCTATTATCATTATTATTAATTTATTATTATTGTTACTATTATTTAAGCGTTTTGATCGTTTCTTCAAAATTTTTGATCTTTATTCACTATCAGCTATATTTTCACTTTCATGATCTGTTTTAGTTTCATTTTCAGTTTTTATTCTCATTCAAATAACGCTACAATCTGGATTGTTTCAGGCTAGCAGTGACCCTTCAAAAGCTGAACGAACATTGGGATCATGATCGAGTATTTCAGGAGACACGAAAAATTATGGGTGCGATTGTTCAGCATATAACTTATAAAGTATTCTTCATCATCTGTTATTACTTCACTTTTTATCAATTTCTTCTGAAAGGTACTCGTGGAATGAGTTGATCAATAGAACGCAACTGCCAAATTTGATGGTATTTTTTTGAGTTGATAATTATCGGAATCAAGCAACTGAAGATTCATTTTCAAGGAATATCTGCCACGTTTACTTGGATCGCAATATGAATCGTTGATGGGTGATTATGAAAGGTACAACAGTGATGTTGATCCGACAATTGCAAACGAATTCACGGGTTGTGCGTTCAGATTTGGGCATGGCATGATTCAGGCATCACTTTGATTTGCATTCATCAAATTTGACTCATTTTATCCCCATATGCTACATAAGCGTTTTTTTTGAGAATAAATTTGTTTGAAAGTGAAAATTTTCGAACAGTTAAGTGACTTTCAAAGTTAATGTATATGAGAGCAAATAAAAGTTTGTTTGTATTGCAGGAATTCTATCCATTTTTGAACGAAAAATGGCAACAGGTCGGCGGAATCGAATTCAACGACGGTATGTTCAAAACGGCACATATTCTGACGAATGGCATCGACCCCCTGTTGAGGGGTATGATCAGCCTGCCCGCAAAAATGCCACAGAGGTTCTCTTTTCCAAAAAAATTTTTCGTTTTTTTGACGGAGATCTCTTGAATTTGCGATTTTGATCTGTTCACCCGAAGTGATGATCTGATGAAGTTGGAAGCTACTGATTCGTATACTGTCATAAACTTGCTGGTTAATGTTGTGCCATCTTTGATATATTCGGATAAAAATTTATAGAATCACTCCCGCTGTAACTGAGCGAATCTTCGGTAACTCAGACCTGGCTGCTGTGAATATTCAGCGGGGTCGGGACCACGGTATTCCAGGGTATGCGGCCTGGCGTAAGTTCTGTAAACTACCCTCAGCATCAACATTCGATGATTTGAATACCACCATTCATAACTCTATTGTTCGTTCGAATCTCAAATTACTTTACGGAGGACGCTTAGGTGAGTAGTACTCTTTAAAATTATTGTTTTTTTGAAGGTATGATGTTACATTATTAATTTTTTAAACTTCTACCATCACTATAAAACAGATTCAGTTAGGCTGATTACGATAACATTTGTTCATTCAATTTTTCGTTTGGTTGATATGAAGCGTGAACGTTCGTTGGTGTTGATAAATCGCCAGTTGATGAACGAAAATATTGCAGAGAATATCGATATGTATGTTGGAAGCTTGTTGGAAGATCCACTCGAAGATGCGCTTATTGGACCAACGTTAGCCTGTATTATATCAGATCAATTCAAAAGATTACGGGACGGTGACAGGTGAACGCCGCTTTTGAATTAAATTTTTAACGTTCATTGTCTCGTGTGATTAATGCTGTGTAACTTCTTCAAGTTATGTTTTCAAATTTTCGTATCGTTTTCAATAAAATGAATTGAAAATTTGTCATTCTTCCACAATTAAACTACTTTCAATTCATTCGTATTCCATTGCTATAACAAATGGAAATCGTTTGGTGTTGTTTGAGATGTCCTTCAATTTCAGATTCTATTATGAAAACGAAGAGATATTCACTAAGTCGCAACTACACGAGCT